TCGCTGAGGAAAGGAGGAAGGAGGCAGAGATCCGAGCTCTGTACGAGCCCAGCGGTCCTCTCAGCACGAAGTCCACAGCAGTAGTCCACCCATTCTGTCCGCGGGCTGTCCAGGCAGTGAGCCGCACAGATTCCTGACGGTGCCCCGCGGGACTTCCCACCCTGCACACCCGCCTCACGTGCGGTGCCGCGCCTGTTGTTAGTAGGTCTCGCTTGCCCACAGGGCCCGAGTCCTGGACCTGCTGCTCCTCCACTGCTCAGCAGTGTCACCTGCTGGCTTCTCCCTGGGGACAGACTCGGTGCCTTCCCGGAGAGCCCTCCGGTCCGGCACCCACGTGGGCAGCTGTCTTCCGTATCCTTTGTTCATCCGATACTATTTCTTTCCCACGGCTGCTGTTAGCCTGCTGCCATCATGAACCATTTCATCAACCACTAGGGAAGAATCCATTTCATTGACAGTCAACGGAACTTTTTTTTTTTTTGAGACACAGTCTCGCTTCTGGTTGCCCAGGCTAGGTGAGGTGCCGTGGTGTCATCTAGCTCACAGCATACCTCAAACTCCTAGGCTCAAGCAATCCTTGTGCCTCAGCCTCCCGAGTAGCTGAGACTACAGGCATGCGCCACCATGTCCAGCTAATTTTTTCTATATATATTAGTTGGCCAATTAATTTCTATTTATAGTAGAGACTGGGTCTGGCTCTTGCTCAGGCTGGTTTTGAACTCCTGACCTCAAGCAATCCGCCCGCCTCAGCTAGTCAAGAACTTTATGGCATGAATAGATGCTAAATTTCATCAAACACCTCTTTTGGATTAATGATGTTAAATTTCATCAAACATTTATTTCTGCATTTATTGAGCTAATCACATTATTTTCCTCTTTTACTCTGTGAATGCCATGCACTATTTTCTAATATTTCAAATTATAAACATTAAACCAACGTAACACGCTAACACAGTATGTTAGACGTAACACACTGTGCCCTTGTTCACAGCGCATCTTCCTCTTGACACACTACTCAGATCATTTTGAGAAGATTTTCTGGAAGATATCGTCTCTGTTCCAGAAGAGACTGGCCTACAATGAATTATTCATACACGCTCGTCAGATATTGGTGCCTATGTGAAGCTACTTACATAAAACAGGCTCCAGAGCAAATCTCCTCATTCTAGTCTCTAAAAGAATATCCATGAACAGGAAATAATTTCTTCAGAGAGTATTTGATATAATTGAATAGTAGATCCACTAGGCTTAACCTTACATTAGAAAAATATGTTTTTTTTCCTACCACTGGTTCTATTTATTTAAACGTTATAGGACTATTTCAGTTGTCTACTTCTTGTGTAACCTCTTCATAAAGTTTTCTAAGAAGCTGGTTGATTTCCCAGATCTTATCAAATTTATTACCATTAAATAATTTGTCATATGGTCTTAAAATAGTCTTAGAAAGATAAACAGTTTTTTGGTGTCTATCCATAAGCACAAACCACTGTGTGTTAACAGAATGCCCAGCCGTGAGGCCCCGGCGCCTAGGAGCTACATGGCGCCCCATGCACTGCTTTGTGAAGTTGAGACGCTCTGGACAAAAGAACAGAAAACGTTGTTCTGGGGCGAGGCACGGACTCCCATGGATCACTGAGAGATCATGTGTGGCCCACGGCTTTGCCAGTAGCTCTACCACTACAGCACCCACCATTAACAGAGGGTGCTGCTGTGGCCTGAGCTGTGTATTCCTATCCATGTCTAAATTCACAGATCAAACGTGAAGGGGAAATTCAGTCTGACACAGAATATTCTCACTGAAGACAGAAGGAAAACAAAATTTGCCTTTAAAAGTCAACCCAGAGCCTCACAGGAGCATGTCCGCTCCCCTATGCTCTTGGATTCCTTTGCACGGACACTGCAAGAAAACGCGGGTCCAGCTTTTGCCGCATGTGTGTGCACAGAGAGCGTTTAGCTGCACGCAAGACAGAGAACAGGGTCCCCGGGCGCCCAAAGCTTTCAAAACCCAAAGTGCAGTCTGGAGACCACTCCAAGTAAGACTGTGTGGCAAAATCGCCTTGTCTCAGTGCAAACCTGCTCACACATCTCTCGCGAGCAGGAGCCCCGCGTGCTGCTGAAAAGAGCGCGTTTGGGAACTGACAAATGAGCGAAACACAAATATCCACACGCTCCCCGGAGAGACACCTGGTCTCTCCCTCTGGCCACAGGGCCAGACGGGGCCACAGTCCCAGACACCGGGACCACCAGGAGGGATGTGGGCCGGTGTCAGAAACATGTGACTGAGCACTGCTATGTGGAAACTCCCCCTAGGTTCACAGAAACGTCACCTCCTAGAGAGATGAAGCCTCCCTCGGCCCAGCCACGCCAAGCAAATGTGAGCCGAAGCACAGGAAGTGCGGAGAAAAAGCCTGAAGAACACAAAGACCTGTTGGGCTGTAAGCCACAACCACTGTCACCTCCAAACAAGCAAGTCAGTGCCCCTAGAGGACCCACCTGCGACGTCCAGGCGGAAGGAGACCCTCTGGCCCCCGGCCTCGCAGCTGTACTCCCCGGCGTCCGCCACGCCCGCCTGCGCCACCACCAGCCGCCGCTGCCTCCCCTTCGCCTCCACGCGCACTCGGGAGCTGGGGCTCAGCCGCTTCCCGTCCTTGTACCACGTCACCTCCGTCTGCGCCTGGGCCACCTCGCAGCCCAGCGTGGCGCCGGCCCCCGCCTCGGCCCGCACCTCGCTGCGCTCCGGCTGCTCCTTGGCGAACACCAGCGCGGGCTCTGGGGACGGACGGGGAGGGACACACAGGTAATACAGGCAATAGACCAATTTGTCCCTTGTGGGTGGCGCGTTTGTGTTCTGCTTGTGAGACCTTTTGTTGTGCTGAGGTCACTAGAGAATCTCCATCGCCTGTTAAGAGCTTCTTTGCCTTTCCGCGCTGGGTCTCTACCCCCGGGGCGGACTGCCGTGTGCGTGAGCAGCGTCCGAGTCTACTCTGTGTTTCCAGGCTGCAATGACCTCAGCACCACCTGTGGACGCACGGCCCTTCCCCTGCACCGCACGCTAGCAGCACAGCACAAACAGTCGTAAGTGAAGGGACATACAGCAGTCACACACAGAGCTGCTTCTGAGGCCGCTGTTCTAGTGCTCTCATCTGATTGATTATTGCCTCATTCTGACCCCACTGTCCTAGTCAATGTAGCTTGAAAATAAATCTTGACGTTTGGTGTAGGACATGCTCTCATTCCATTCATCTACAGGGTGGACTTGGCTTCAACTTATCAATTTTTATCCCACTCAAAAACAATGTGTTTAGATTTAGATGAGGAATGAACATCTTTGAGCCTCCCATGGTTTCTACTCCTTTCTTTAGATTTTCATCACCAACTCTCAGAGCCTTTGATAATTTCCCCTATGGAGCCATTAAATATCATTTATTAGAGTTGGAATTGGAATGATCGCACTCTTTAAGCTACTGTAAATCTTTAAAAAATTTATTTTCCAAGTGCTTGTTGCCAGTATGTGGATACAGAAATATTTTCTATTTGTTGATTTTTGTAGGTGGTGAACTTTTCCCAAGTCTCTAAGTCTAATAATTAATCTTTTGTATTTCCTGAATAGATAATGATATTATTTATAAATTCCACTTTTATTTTCTCAGTTTCATGCTTTGTATTTTTAGACAACGTCTTGCTCTGTCGCCATAGGTAGAGTGCAATGGTGTCATAGCTGACAGCAACCTCAAACTCCTGGGCTCAAGTGATCCTCCTGCCTCAGCCTCCCGAGCAGGAAGGACTACAGGTGTGCACCACCATGACCGGCTACTTTTTCCATTTTTAGTAGAGATGGGCGCTTGCTCTTTCTCAGGCTGATCTCCAACCCCTGAGCTCAAACGATCCTCCTGCCTCGGCCTCCCAGAGAGCTAGTATTAGAGGCGTGAGCCACCATGCCCCACTTAGACTGTATATCCTTTTTCTGCTCTGTAGGAGAATCCTCAGGGACATGGTTAACTTCTGTCCAGAACACCTGGTATAATTTACCAGCAGAGCCACTGGACCTGACCTTTCTCTATGAAAAGATGTTTCTTCATTTCTGTTTCTATTTCTTTTAAAATGGTGGGAGTATCCAACTTTTCTATTTCTACTTGTGTCAGTTTTGATGTAAGATTATAGGAATTGGCCAGAATATTATTATTACAACTTCTCAAATTTTTTTTACCATAAAATTATTTGTTACATTCTCTTCAACTAGCATTTCACAAAGAAACACAGCGGGTTTCCTGGCAGCGCCACACACCTGTAAATGGCTGGACACAGATGCAACACCAAACCCTGTTGTCCAGGTAACTACGAGACCAATGTGAAATTGCCGCTCACTGCTATTTAACATGAAGTCCCTTTCAACAAAAGGAAATGGTTATATTTCTCAGCTTTCTCAGCCCACTAGGGAGGAACGGATGCACACTCCTCCTTACGGAAATGCTCCATAATAACTGTTCCCACATCAGCCAGTGGCTGCTGTCATGGTAACGCATCCTTTCCAAAGCCAAGTGATGCTTCGCCAAGCACCCTCATTCCTCTCCCTTTCTCCATTTATATATCAGACCCCACGGGCAGTTCTAACACAGAATGTTCTACCTAAGACAGAAAGATAGGCCGAGAGCGGTGGCTCACGCCTGTAATCCTAGCACTCTGGGAGGCCAGGCGGGCGGATTGCTCAAGGTCAGAAATTCGAACCAGCCTGAGCAAGACCCCATCTCTACTAAAAATAGAAAGAAATTAATTGACCAACTAAAAATATATATACAAAAAATTATCCAGGCATGGTGGTGCATGCTTGTAGTCCCAGCTACTCGGGGGGCTTAGACAGGAAGATCGCTTGAGCCCAGGAAACTGAGGTTGCTGTGAAGTAGGCTGACGCCACAGCATTCAGTCTAGCCTGGGCAACAAAGTGAGACTCTGCTTCAAAAAAACAAAACAAAAAAAAACCACAGAAAGATAACAGGATTGCTTTAAAAACATCAGTCCAACCTTACAAGTGTGTATCATAGGCACATATAATCCCACAGGTTTTCCACTATGCACAGGCATTGCAACAAAACATGGGTCCAGATTTTGCTACCTACAGGTCACAGATAACTCCATATCCATGCAAAAGGAGGAAGAGTGGCCCCTGACACCTACAACCCACAGTTGTGTCTAGAGGTGATTCCATGTGTGAGCGGCTGGCTGAAATCCACCTCCCCCAAGTTGAATGAGATCAAACCCCCCACTAGAGCAGCACACAGGGCAGGCACTGGGAGCCCCCGAACATCCCGCAGAAGGAATCCACCCCGCCCAGTACAGACCCCGGGTCTCCCTCAGCCCACAGGGCCTGGGAGCCACAGTCCTGACACCAAAGGACACGATAAGGTTCTGGGCAGATACTAGGAACGTAAGACTGAGCGATCCTGCCTGGGAACCGCCTTCGAGGGCACAGGAACAGCCTCTCCCTCTGCACACACCCTTCCCCCCCAGCCTCCCCTGGCCCAGAGGGTATGAAAATGTGAACTGGGAGCGTGGGAGACAGGAGAGAAGAGGTCTGAGGGAAAGCAGCCAGGTGCACCGAGCTGGCGGCCACTCATCACCAGCTCGAAACGAGGCAAGACCTTGCCCCAGAGGACTCACCTGCCACGTCCAGGCGGAAGGAGACCCTCTGGCCCCCGGCCTCGCAGCTGTACTCCCCGGCGTCCGCCACGCCCGCCTGCGCCACCACCAGCCGCCGCTGCCTCCCCTTCGCCTCCACGCGCACTCGGGAGCTGGGGCTCAGCCGCTTCCCGTCCTTGTACCACGTCACCTCCGTCTGCGCCTGCGCCACCTCGCAGCTCAGCGTGGCGCCGGCCCCCGCCTCGGCCCGCACCTCGCTGCGCTCCGGCTGCTCCTTGGCGAACACCAACGCGGGCTCTGGGGAAGGACGGGGAGGGACACGGGGTCAGAGACGCCAGCCCAGACGCAGCCCATCATTCAGGGCCTGGTGCTCGCCCTGCGCCCAGCCGTGGCCACGGCGACGCTGTCATGGCGCTGGGCAGGGCCCCGCAGTGGTGGCGGGACCGCGAGCTGTCCTGTGCGGACAGTCCACGCGGGGCCCTCTGCGCACAGACAGCCCTCCCCAGCTCGGGTCTCCTGGCGCCCCAGCCTGTCACCCCTCCCGCCGCTCCCCGCCACACAGAGGCTTGGACAGAGGCACGGGGCAGGGTCAGGATGACGGTCCCCTCGAGCATCACACCAGGAACCTGTGCCTTCGCTGGCCACGGGCTCACAGGGAAAGAGAGCCCAGTGCAAGGGCAGCCAATCATGGGCCAGCTCAGTGCCAGGGCAGCCAATCATGAGCTAGCTCAGGGCCAGGACAGCCAATCACGAGCCAGCTCAGAGCCAGGGCAATCAATCACGAGCCAATTGAATGCCACTGAGGCCCTCAGGAGAGCGGTGGCTGAGCTAGGTGTGGTCTCCTGTGCCCAGGCTCAGTGACAGGTGGACAGGACAAGGCAGGACGTGAGCAGGGAAGGACAGATGGACACGTGGAGACCACCAAGGGGCAGCCACACAGGGACGGGCGGGCACACGGCTCCTGCCACCTGCAGGCCCTGCAGTCCAGTCACGCACGTCCCCTCTCCGCATCCCCGACACCACACAGGGGTCACCAGACCTCCTCCAGACCGCGACCCCAGACCCCGCACCACGGCCAACCCACGTCCAACCACGCCCGCTCGGCCACAA